TTATATGCAGGATTTAAAAAGGCGGTTGATTTTGTCTCTGCTATCTGTGATGTAAATGGATACTGGGCGGACGGATAGTAAAGATAGAAACGAATTGTTTGTCAGTAATAGGCGCGGTGCCTCCTATTCCCAATCAATGAGTACGTATACACGTTGTTGTGTTGCTTATATCGAACTCAACTCTCACCGCCCTCACATCAACAGATGCTCTTCTCCACACTGGCTATGACAATACATTTTCCTCAGTTACCTAAAAATACAGATAAAAAAGAATTGGGAGATCACGCAAGTATAATAATATATGCAAACTTATGGAATGGAAGAACTGATTAACTATAAAATAAACATTTGCTTTACTGAAAGACCGCTGCTCGTCGCATATACCCTTTCTGCGCGGCAATATAAACTGTTCCGTAACCACCAGCACTGATCTCCAAGATCCTTTGCATAACATAAATTCCTATGGTTAGCAAAGAGAACATACATCGTTTATGAGCCCAGATCCCATATCTACAAATCGACTTTGCGTAATCATATCATATACATATGCGCAGTTTTCCGCTTTTTCGTACAAAATACGACCTTCTGCAGACTTCTTAAGTGTTGGGAACAACCATACACTTTGACCATTAATGTTAGGATGGAGTTGGTAAAGTTCTTGCAAAGTCTCTATTTTAGGAGTTTTGGGCTTTAACCGTTTTGTTGTTGAGTGACATTCGTCTCTTTCTCCGAATGTAAGCTCCGCCTTCTCTAAAAACGATGGAGAAACGTTAATTAACTACGCTACTGTTGTCAATATGTTTCTTACTTGCCTTAATCTCCTTCCTCATTCTCGCTTATATATAAGAAGTAGCTGCTTTCAGCACACGATCCACTTTTTCGCAGCGGAAAATGCAGTTATGAAGTTTTTTATGGTTGTTTATTAATTTCGGGTTTATGCTGAGTTTCGGAAAAAAGTTTTATTCCAATAGCTGATCTGCTTCACAAAAACGTGCAATGAGAGTTCTTGAAGGTCGAGGCGATCACTTATAAATTCTATATTAATATGATTTACTGTTTTGGCATCGCTGATCATAGCTGTGTAACATTGAGTTGTCCCCCATATATTTAACTACATGTCGGATGCGTGTTACCCTTAAAAAAGAAATATTATGGCCGTGTAACATGTCGGATGTGTGTAACATATCGGATAATATCCCGATTATATTCATTGGGAATAAAAATAATCGATAATTGACCCCTTCAAATTTAGCATAACGTTTACATTTTAAAGGTGCTTTAGTCCTTTGCGACATCGAGACACATTTACGTCAAAGCTTTGTTCACAAAAATGCTTAATTATTAGCAATTGAGAACTAGAAAAGCAACTTGTAAATATATGCGGTCACTCTAATTTATTGTTCTCCGTGTGTAACAACAGGTGGAAGTCATGGGATGCAGACGAATGTTATAGTAATAGCCAAATTAAAATTTCAAAAACTAACTACGACTACTACTGCTACCACAACTACAACTACAACTACAACTACAACTACAACTACAACTACAACTACAACTACAACTACAACCATTACTGCAACTTCAACATAAACAACAACAGCTACTGCTAAATAATTACTACGACATTGTCAACTTTAACATGTTACGTTGTTTGTGGCGCTCCTTGTATCATTAATAGTTTTTACTTGGCAGTACAATGTTATACATGCATAAATATGTATATGACATCAAGAAAGAATTACTATTATAGTTTGTTCGCTTATAAATATTCCAATTAAATTTTTAAACGACATAGCGAATTACTTTACGCAACTCTATAACCTTCATGAATATCCATGATGAGTGATATTGAGAAAGATACTCGAATTGATATTCCACAACAACCACCACCTGAAAATGTAGATGCATGCACATTCTCACCAGATGGAAAACACCTGGCGACATATTCGGCAACCAAGGGTATAATAACTATATGAGACGTAGATACACTAGAGAAAGAAGAGGAAAAATATTTTTGGCAGAACGATAGCACCCGCTTGAAGCCAAGAGCATACAGAGTAGAGAAGAAAAGCGTTGCATCAAACACTTCTAAACAAATTAGCGATGTTGATTTTGCATTGTCTAATAAAGGTGAAGATTGATCATGCTTTTCTTCAGTGTAAAATCATCTGGTTAATATTAAATCAACAATGTTGTGCAGCTCGCTTTGTAGCTTTAAGTACAATTAGACTTCCACAGGAAAATGAAAATCCGGAGCCTTTTGAACTAAAAACGGGTGCCGCCGAAAAGTTTTTCACATTTGTTGTCGATATTAAAAATAGACGCCCTAGAAGTGAACCAGCGTTGACCGAATTAAAAGGAGCGATTAAGTTTTCCTCCGACAATACAAAATTCATTGTGTGTGATATGCAGGCTGAAAAAAAGAAATTACTTTATATCTTTTCAACACAGGATTGGACTTTGGGAAAAAAGGACTTTTCGGATATTTACGATAAATTCACGAATAGCCTGCAAAGCATTTATGACCCATGGAATCAGATAAAGTTTTTGAAAAACTCGCTTCTTGGAGACTACTTTATATGCGTCGAGAATGTGAGTATAACACTATTGGATCACTCTTAACATATCCCTTACATTCCTGCTAATGTTTGCACTCTGATTGGATGGATGATACGCTACTGAACAAATTTTCTATTTTTAGTGGAAACAAGCATCACTCTGGTCGATATCTGAACGTGAACTGATAACTTCCATTCGATACCCGGCAGAAGATTCTTTCCTAAATGCTGATAAAGAACCGGCCGTATTTGCTCTTTCTCATAACAAAAAAAAGCTTGCAGCATGGACCTCAAAAGGAACACTTGCAATTTTTTCATGTGAAGGTGGTGCCATACTTTCTTCTGCAATGAACCGCGACACCAAGGAAGGGACAAGCATATTATGGGATGACGGGGATCAATTTTTGATGATAATTAACACAACTGATGGGATGAAAATACGCGACGTTCGCACTTGTATGGACATTTTTGACGAATATGTACGTATAGAGCCAAAGTCAGTATTCCAACCAACAGGCAGCGGTTTGTGCGCCAACTATGGCAAGCAGGTTCCATCAATCAGCAATCTTCTGATTGAATGGATTGAAAGTTTCATGAAAGCCGTTCAACAGTGCGATTCAGAGGAAGTGTTGGAAAAAGAGAAAACCGCTGATATATTTGGTATGTGTGATGCGTTCTGCGGGACAGATTTTTTCGAAAAATTCTAACTTCCCAGATAAATTGTATAGGTGTGAAGTTTAACCCAATCGGCTTAATACGTCTGTACATTGATCGTGCAACCATCTATCAGGCGCTCGGTTCGACAGGTGGCGACTTGGATCCATACGTAACAATTGCCGATTTAGCTACCGAACGGAGTTTACGGGAAGACAAAAATTGTGTACAATAGTAAGAAACCCCTCTGGAAGCAAGTCTTTTATATCCCATTGTATAAACAGCAAAAGAAGCTAAAGCTGAACGTAAACGACTATAATGCGTTTGCTAAGGACATTCTGTTGGGTACGTGCATTCTGGATGTCAACAAAGTCGTGGTGCGAGCTCGTGAAACAAAGGAAGCCAAGTGTGAGAAAAGATATGGATATGCTGATTTGAGTTATAAGGGTCATGTCACTGGTAAACTTCGATTTCACGTGGAATTTATCTCTCTTGGCAACGATTATTTGAGAAAAACGTTAGGCACTCCTTTTGGCCTAGATCATCTCTATTTCATCTTGTCTCTTCAAAGGCGGACAGGATCATTTCAAGTCGTCGATCGCTTAGCCAAGCTTTTTAACTTTTCAACCGTCAAGAAATTGATTCAACCATTGCGGGAGAAGTTCAAGTCACTTGACAAATCCATCATTGTGTCGGCTTTTGTCCTATCATGTTTTCAGATTGTCTTATCGAAACATGAAACAGAATGGCTGACATCATACATAAAGGGGGAAAATTGGATTGCCGAATCCATTAACGATATAAAAACTGAAGAACGGTTGTATGAAGAAGTAAAGAACTACATTATCAAACAGTTTGCGACCGAAAGTCGGACCGACAAAGCTGAAGAACATATAACACTTGTTTCTAATCAATATCAAGACATCCGCCGGATACTTTCATACCAAACTGAAGGTGTTTACGAGCTCGATGCTTATCTTGCAAAACTTTTCGGATACGAGTCGACGGAAGTTGCACGGGAAAGTTTACGGGCTTGGTTTTCTTCGAAGTCTATTGAATTTGGTGAGAACATATACTGCACAGCAGTCCTTCAATGGTACTTCCGCTACGTACTGGTTGATCACCGTGAAACGTGGGCAGATGCATACAAAAAGTCGTCCATTTGGTTAAGCGCACAAATTGGTGACGAGGAGGTCGAAAAGCAACTACTTGAGCAGGCGAGAGTATTTGTTCGTGACCGTGATCAAGTTGATAAAGAGACTTTAACAAAGGATTTGTCTTTCAATTTAACTGAGAAATCCAAAACTGAGGAGGAGGATGTCGATGAGAAATCTGACTATATTGAATTTGAAGAATTTGATGATAACGAGCTATGCGAAGATGAATACGATGAATACGACACTACTGTAGTTGGCATCCTCAGAGTCAAAATTGGTCAAGAGAACGATGTTGTTTTATCGGACGATATGGGTGTTCGCGCCTTTAAGGTTAATTCGCAGGGAGCTGCCAAAAAGGGGACGCCTGCATACACAGCCAACGACGTCTGCGGAGTACATTGCGTTCCAGTACACAATGCAAAGGGCCAGCTCGTTTTCGAAATTTTCAATAAAACTTTGACTGATTTTGATGCTGGATCTTTTTCATTAACGTTGAACGATTTGATTACGCGCAATTCAGATGGACTATATTATAAGAGACAAGCCTTGGAAAAAAGTAAACAGATCAATATTCCGGGAGGGAATAAGTGCAAGGTGCGGCTTAACGCTCAATTTTATTCTACAAGATTTGAAAGTGGCCACTTCGATTTCAGCGAGAACACTGTTGACATCGATGACTTGTACCGTCTTATCGGCATGGCATTTAACGCCATTGCTTTCAATGTTAGCAACGACTTAGCTCTCTGCTTTAATTTTGGATCTGCGTCGGATCTCTTTCACGCCCTAGCAGCGCGTATTAAGACTGACAAACAGCTAATATCCGTAAGCACGCGCGTTTGGTCCACAGCTTTAATTATCGCGTGTGTTAAGATTTTTTGCCAGAAGTTCCAAAGCGAATGGACGCTGCCCGTTAACAGTTTGGAGCAATGGATTAGTTCTCAAGTTTATTCCATAGATGTAGAAGAGCATTTATACGATTACGCAAAGGAATTTGTCATGGATACGTTTAGCATTACTTTTGCTGAAGAACGAGAGAAAGTTTTACATGCGTCCGGTAATAATATTTTTTGCCCCTAGTTTTTGAATATGCGTGGATCGATTTAGTCGTTTAACGTACATCTAACAACTATTTCATTTAGTTGCCGAACAAATTGTTGCGCCCATTGCTGAGGACTCTTTGAATAAGCCGGAATCTGCGTCCACCGGAAATGGAGCGCCACCTGTTTATTCGCTTGTTCCTCTGCTCGCTTTCCCCAAGACCAAATCAAAGAGAGTGCATGAGTTTGAATCAAACGGTCGTAACAAAGTGATTCCATATACACGTGGTGAAGCGAAGTCTTTTGGACAATTTGAAACAGAGCCATGGGTCGCTCCCTGCGTCAGAACAGCGGTCATGCTGGATGATCGAAATGATCGTGTATTGTTCATTGGTAAACACACGATACAGTTATGGTCTAACTTTGCAAAAGAAAATAAAACTCTGCAGTATATTTGGTGTGGACCAAGTAATGAACAAAATCGAGAAAAAGATTTTATTAAAGAATACTCTATTACGTGGGCAGCATTGACGAAACTATCAGACGAAGTCTTTACTATCGCTTTCGCATACAAGAAGCAAGGCATCAGTCATAGTATTAAAACGGGATTCCGCTTGCCGCGTAAAGATGATCCTGCCAGTTTCCGTACAGTAAGAGATGCATCGTATGCTCTTGGAATTTTGGACTCAGTTGAATGTAAATCATGGCCGGATAAAGGCTACCAACATTATGAAACGCTTCTTGACCGCTGCAAATTGATCATCGATTGTGCCCTTTCGTCTTCCGATGGCGACGCGTTTGGCAGTATTGGATCGACTGACGAATCGGAGGGCAGAGGTTTTCAGCTTAAATCAATTGATGACGAATCAGAGCACAAGGGTTTTCAGCTTGAAGAAATTGGTGGCACTTCAAAAGCATGGAGCAAAATATTGCAAGTTTTAATGCAATTTGATTGTGGACGTTCCAATTCTTTGATTGAGGAATTGTTGAAGAAAGAAAAAATTACCCTGAAATTGGATAATTTCGAGGAAAAGGATGGTCAGTCTATGTCAGACCTCTTTTACGCTATAACGTTTCGTAGAGCCAATATTGTCCGTTCATTATCACTCTACTACTGCGAGAGAGCGACTTCGGTGAATGAGAAATCGTTGACTGAGCCTGACTTCGAAAATAATTTGCGAATTGTTGTTTCTGGATTCGGTCTACTGTGTGAAAAACACCCTGACATTGCTTTAGAGTTGGTGAAAAATATCAGTTACTTCAAATCTAACGGGCCCGTTGTATGGAGCAATAAACGGGAGAACTTTGCCTACTCAGATTCGGAAAAAGAAAGCGGTGATGTGTATAAAGCAGATGCGCAAGATGATACAGGCTTCAAATGGAGTAGATTTTTTAGTAATAAACATCAGGTAATATTAATATTCTGATTATATATACTTTTAATTAGACAACTTATCATTTCTTTATAATATTATTAACATTGATTCTTCGTTTACTACTGAATAAGAACGATGACGGTTATCTGTATAAAGAATGTTTGGTCCCTTTGCCGAATTTCACTCGATATCGGAAGCCGCCGAAATCCCTCTTCGGATTTCTTAACGTATTTGAATGGCTTAAATACCTTTCTCCATTTGCTAGTGCGGTTCTCCATGGCAAATATCATATGTTTGGCGAACCTGCCATGGAAGCGATTATTAATTTCAAATGGAGGAAATTTGCCAAGACGCGATATGTCATCTTTATTGGTTTATATTCCTTGTATCTTCTTTCGTTCATGGCTGCCGTTACTCTCGATTCTGGCAGAGTGCATCAGGGAAACGTGATCAAACATCTGATTTCATTGTTCTCGATTATAGTATTGGTACTCGGATTCATATTTATCGCAATCGAGATTATGCAAATGATTGCATATCGTAAACATTATATCGGCATGTATAATGTCATTGACCTGGGCAGCACTATATTGCCAATGATTTATGCCGTCGGGGCATTTTTTGGAAGCAGCTGGAGACTTAAATATGTTGGCATCTCCATGTTCTTTGTCTATGTTGATTTTGTAAGCGTTTAAAATTGATCTAATTTGATGTTGCATCCGAATAATCATTTAACCGAACCTGTCGTTCTCTATTATAGATTCTCGACTCCGAGTATTCAATGAGTTTGGGATACCAATATTTATTATGATAGAAATATTTAAAAGCGTGCGAGGGCCTATTGTCATAATTGCAATGATGGTGTTCGCATACACACACATTTACTGGCTGTTGTTTTCCTACGTGGAAGTTACGGACTTGGTAGGTGACAGTCCGGTGATGAGCGACTTTTCGACTCCTCAACATGCACTCGTTTCAGTCTTTTTCTTCGTGGTAAGTAATTAACTTAAAACAGCATCCAGTTTTGGTTTAAATTGCGTAGATATGTTTTGATTAATTTTTGCCATTAATAGACAGGCAATTTTGGCTCTCTTAGTGATGCGTTTGGTGATCCGACAGTTGCATTTTTGGCAATTGTATTTTCGTTCATAACCGCGATTGTATTATTGAACATCTTGATTGCCTTAATGACTGATGTTGTCAGCAATGCCAAAATCGCTGGTAAACATGTTTGGCTTAAGCAGAAAGCAGAGGTAAACTTAAACGTTGAATATTATTGACGCCTTCTCTTTGACCATTAACTAATTTGACCCATATATATATAGTTCATATGTGAATTGGAGGTATACGCTCACGCGAAAGCAAAGACAACGACGCGATTTCTTTCCGAATCTAATATACTACTTTGCGAAAGATGATTCCATACAAGAATACGAGAAGAAATGGAAGAAAAATAAGAGATATTGCACTAGTAAAACTACGAGCGATGTTGTTCTGGACTGTAAGGAATTTTTCTTGAATGAAAAAAAGTTTGAAGGAATTAAAATTATGTTAATGGAACAGAACAAAATGTGATGTAAAAAGTACGAGTAGTTAAATGAAATGCGAAGGTAGTTGTTTAGTTTATTGATTTATTCTGACTTTTACAGAGATATATAAATTTATAAGATATAATTTCAGTGGTTGTTGTCAAGGGTTTTATTTGCTTTGTTGAGAACGATTTTAATTCCGTAAGGTTTACGAATAAAATTTATGTAAATTGCCAAACTTTCCATGTTAATGTGGGGGATTCTTACACGAAAAAAACATTACATGACATCTAAGTATAAAAGTTATCAGTCAGTGTTCTCACGCTGTTTGGCGATAAATCGAGACAGAAATAATGTATAGCGATAGAATTACCGGAGATAAACAATAATAATAAAAGTTGGAATTTTTGTGCGTAGAAAGACAAAAAAAACTTGTGTATAAATTTAGACATTAGAAGTTGAAAAGGGGAGTGGCATATAGTGGGTTAATGTGTCGAGTAAAATGTTCATTATTGCAATATTGTATACGCATGCAAGTCGTAAGTCATACATTAAATTGTGAAAAAAAATAAATAAATAAGAAAAATACTGTATGTATTCGAGTGCAATACGGATTTAAAATAGTGGTAGCGGTTGAGATGTTAACATCTCTAATCCAATACGCGTAACATATGCTTATCAACCGGAGGAGATATTTGAAAATTGAAGGCTTGGAAAAAGGAAATGCTTTCTATTTGTGGAAAGTTATGTCGGGCAGGATTGACATAATAATAATGAATTGACGGCATTATATTTTAGTTAGCGCGTTTATGTTTGTTTTAATAATAGTATGTTTAAACATATTTATTCGGGTAATAATATTATTATTGTTATTTTGTTATGTAGGTAATGTATTTAATATGCAAGCGTATGGAAAGTTGACAAATTGTTGTTAAGCGTTGGTATTTCTTTATTACTTTGGGTCAATTTGAATGCGTCTCTGCGTAGACCGAGACACAACAATTGATATTTATGGCTGTTATACGAGCCAAGACATTGTAAAGATAACAGTCGAAGCCTGACTTCTTAGTAGCGTATACGATGGAGACGATTCTTTTTGATCGTAAACCATACCCGGCTGAGATGACCGAGATAGCTCGGCTGTTATACGAGCTAAGCCATTTTAAATCTAGCGTTAAAACAACAGTCAAAGTCTGATTTTTGTTGGTGATGACGTTATAGAGAAACAATGAGAGAAATTTTTTTGAATGGTGGCGTAGATGGTGACGATATTTTATATTTAAAGCCGCAGTTTTTCTTAATTTACCACCCCGCAATCCCGGACCTAGTGTTAGGCTGATAAATTTATGGGTAATAAATTTTGCAAATCGTGTTCTGGGTCGGGATTTGTTTCGGCTCTCGATTGAGGTGGTCGAAATACACGTACAACAATTGATACCAGCGTAGACGTTTAGACACTGGTCTTTGGGTAAGCGCGATTGTTCCGTTATGGTGTGGTTGCAATGAAAATGTGTTGATAAGCTAATATATAGATTACTACGGTAAAGGTTACGGTTATTGATTAAGTGGCTAGTCAATAATTGGTGGATTCGTTATTTGCTTGTCGACTATTCAATGTTTAGATCGTCGAAGCATTGGTGGCACGTTTGCTTTGGTAATAATTCACTACGGGGTTAGTGATGTGTAATTGATTGGTTTTTCTTGTCAAACTATTCAATGTTAGGGTCGTCACACATCCAAAAAAAGTTCTTTAACCTTGCATTCGTTTTAGTAATAGATTCGTTGCGATAAACGCATTCTGGCTAGTGATGTATGACCTGTTATATGTTAGTGTTGTCGATTGTCACACAATCGACTATTGTGATGGGCCGGTATTTGCATTGGTTGAGTACCGTATACTACCGTGACTAAGCACCTCCTATTACTATAAGTAACAAGTCTAACAGTAAACGTGCAACTCATGTTGACATATCTAATTGGAAAAGAAGTAAACTCCTTGAGTAAAACTCGTAAAAACGGTAGACAGACCGCGAATTACAAGAGCGTTTGTGTCACTAAATAATATTGTAAGTTGACTTATTTGTATAGCGTGTAAACGTACCTGCGGTTGAATCCAAATCGGTAGGTAAGAGTGTGCTGGAATATTTACTCTCTTTCTCGAGACATGATAATGGCTTTACATCGTTATGATATATAGTATTCCACACGTCACCAGATTTATCCTTTTCCACTTCGTAAATAAGCTTGAACATATCTTGGGAAAGTGTCACTTGCATGAGGACGCTTATCAGGATCAGCATCACAACATCGCCAAACATTTGTCAAACGACCAATCTCTAAATGGTGGGTCACCAGTAGCAATCAAATACATAATGATACCAAATGAATACACATCCGATTTCTGAGTAAATTTTGTCATGAATAAGCTCTAACATCTACGTATTCCTCCGAGATTTCCGCTCAGTTACACAAATCTCCGGTTCTGCGGTCAACGATTGACAAGTCCTGCGGCGCGTAGATTTTTCCAATGTAATAAAAGTCCAATCCACATACGAAGCTACAGATTTGACCCATATTGGGCCATCTTGTACGCAGCTACAAAAATTGAATATATCGGGCTAACAGACGTTGGTAAAATTAGAACATTTGTAATTAGTGATACTTTCCCGATTTATATCAAATTTATCAGCAA